TGGTGAGTTGTGGGTACAACATGTATTTAACAAAAGTGTAAAATATTGATTTTCTGTGGCCTGCATGATTTCACAAATAATTTTGGCACTATATTTTGTTCCCTAAGCTGTTTGGGGAGATACTGCATATCCATGTAAAAAAAAACCACCAGAAACTCATAGCTCAGCCCCTCCTTGTCCTTCACTGCAGAAGCACACCTGAGCTGTATCCACCTCCTCTCACAAGCATTGTCCAATACTGCCCTTCCCTGGGTGTTAACCTGATTTATTTGCTGCTCCTTGAAAGACTGGTTTCTTCATTCAGCCTATGTCTTTTATCACCAGCCTTCTCCTTGGCTCTGTTGATAACAGAGTTACAGCAAAACAGAGGATTTGATAATATTTTAATATATTGAGTTTTAAACATTAAATACCTCAGCTTCCATTTCCTGTAGACAGAGGAGGTTTTGATTCTGGCTACACTGAGGGGTGAAGATTTGGGATGGACACGAACTGAACCCTTTTATCTTCTTTTCCTTTGTAAGTAACCTTCAGAACCAGTCTGGCTGGAGGACATACATCTGGCTTCTTCCTTTCTGTGCAGAGACACTGGATCAACACCTGTGACACACAGCTAGGGATGGATTCCACATATTGCAGCACTCACTCCCCTGCCGACGCAGGGACAGAGCAGATTGTCAGCTTCTGCTGCAGCCATCCAATAACCCACCATCTGCTTTCCATTTTTAGTTTAGACACAAGCAATAGACCTGAATCAAAACCGTGGTTCCAGACCCCATGAGGACTGATAGAAATTCTTCTGAGCTTAATAATTAAATAAATAACAACAGCAACAAAGAAATAAATGGTTTAATCTCCCAGCAGAAAGGCACGGTGCTGTGCACGTGCCTGCAGACTCATTACCTCATTCACTCCAGCCCCCGCGCTGTCAGGGCTTGTTCCCTGTCACATCTCAAGTCTTTACCAAAATTTCTGCAGGGCAGGGACTGTGTATGTTTGCCTGGTCATGTATCTATGGGAATAACGTGAAGTACTAATGGTATTAACAGCAAGTGTGAAAGGCAATTTGGAAACCGGAGTTAATTTTGAAATTTGGCTCTTCGGTTCACCGTGAGTAACCAGGGAGAAAGAAGAAGCCTGTCATTAAATGTAATTAAAATTAGGGATTTGAAATGAGAATTGTCATCCAAATCATAATGTCTATCGAGGATATGGCCAATGAAATCATCAGCCATGGGCCATCCCAGTGTGGCCACCAGGACGCCTCCTTCCCTTTGGGCTACAAGCAAAGGTGATGGATGTGGCACAGGGCTTGGGCACAGAAGGAGGAGAGGCTGTGCTGGGCTGCAGCGTTGTCTTTGGAGCCTGGTTTGGGATAAATCCATCCTGCCAGGGGAAGCAGTGACTCAGAGGGACCACTCCTCCTCCTGATTCCTGTCCTGACGTGGTTCGTGGTTCTCTCCCCACAGCCTCAGTCATCGCCTTCTCCTCTCCAGCTCAGATGATGCATTCCCAGCCTGCTGTCAAGAGTCTACCTAGAAAACTGAAGGAGCATTGATATAAGAGAATAATATTATCAAAATGCAGGATTTGAGGGTGAGGCTTTCCAGGGACTATCTCAAGCTCCTGAGGATTGAAGAGTCATCAGGGTTAAATTCTAAAAAGAAGCTAGTTCCCAAAAGACCTTTGTCTGAAGTGGTGATGTCAACAGGAGAATGAGAAAAGGGAAAAGTCTCTTCTGCTGGTGTTTGTCACTTGTAGACAAAAGTGACTGCTCATGGCAGGGGTCTGGAACTGTGTGGGAACTTTAATTTCCCTCCCAGTACAAACCACTCTGGTTCTATGAATACCTGAGGGCTTCATTGGTGCTGTCAGAGGGTTGGAAAGCATTTATGGAGTGAGCAGGTGAATCTCTCCACAGGGAGGGCAGTGACTGGGTCAGTCCTTTGCTCCCCAAACATGAGGCATTTCCTGACTGTGCTGGCTCTATGGCACCCAGATTTCATTGTTCTATTTCAAGTCTGTGGAGCCAAATGCTACCTTGGGATTTTCAGCAGCATCTCAGACAGTCCTCAGCAATGGAGCAGACCTTGCAGAGGACTTTGTCCCCTACATGGCTGCAGGCACTCTGCCAGGTGCTCCCAATCTCTTTGTGAGAGCACAGGCTGTGGGAGCAGCCCTTTTCCCATGGAGTGGAGCCAGGTTACAGGACTGAGGCAGAGCTGGATTTGCTGCACTGGAAGCTGCTGGTGGAGCTGCATGGCTGGCTGCTGGCAAAGGGATGGGAGATGTTTCCTGTTCTTTTGGCAGAATGAATAGTTTGATCTAGTTTGGTTTCCCCTGACATGGTGAACAAGCTGACAGCACTGGTGAGTGCCAGCTGAGGAGGGGAGAGAAGCAGCAGAACTGCTGAGAGTCACAAGAATATTATGTGGGACTAAGGCAGGCTTCCCTCTAAAAGGCTTCCCTTTAAAACCTGGATGTGGCCTTGGAGTTGGTTAGACAGAGCTTCTACCTTCCTCCACCTCCAGCCCTGCCCAAGAGACAATATCTGAGCTAAGGAACCGCTGCCATTCCAGAGCCTCTGGTGCTATCCTCTCCCAAGAAAACAAGCATGTGGCTCTCTGCAGGGTGAGAGAGGATTTGGGCACTGCATTCAGGCCTGGCCCTGTGAATGGAAAGACTGAGCTCTGCACAGCACTGAGCAAAGCTCCTCACAGCTTTCTGCCCAGAAGTTGAGTCTCCTCTGCCAACCTTCAGCCTTGCCCAGCCTTCCCAAGATGTTGTCCAAAGCCATCCTGATTTCTGCTCCTCACTGCATGGAGCTCAGAATTAGGATTAGGATAGGTGGGTGTTGTCCTGGCCCTGTTCTGGAAAGGCAGGTTAACAGGAGTTCAGCACTGAAAATACCTGCTATGGACACAACCCTGCAGAGCTCATCCAACGTGAAGGAAGCAGTTTTTGTCTGAGTCTCCCAAGCCAGGAAGAAAAAGTGACTTCATAATTTTTTTTAAATGTTTCAGCTTCTGCCTGACTGTTGCAACCTTCCTGTTATTTGCTGCATCATTGTTCATCCTCGCTGGGGAGGGACAGGCAGGGCAGCCCTGCTGTTTAATCACTTGCCTTCACTGCTCACTTGTGGTTAATCCTTGCTCCTCAGCACAGCAAGTGGAATGCAGTAGTGCTGCTTTGCATTACCGCCCTGGAGCTGAGAACCAGGCCAATATCATCAAAATTCAAGGCATTCCTTTCCCAAACCCACTTTACATGGAAAAGTACCCTTAACTCTCTCTAGCCCCGAATACCAGGCTTGAGGGCCTCTTTACCTGCCAATGATGCTGGGCAAGCTTTCAGCCCAGATAAATCACAGGCAGCTGGGGAATGGGTGGAGGCTCTCATTTCACCACTTGAAAGGCAACTTTTAAAAGTTGGTTGGAATTCAGCCTTTAATTTTGCACCCACAGATTTGAGCCTGTAATCAGATGTGAGCTGGGATCTGCAGATCCCATCTGCTGCAGCACCAACACCACCTCTGCCTAATCCAAGAGAACAGTTAGGTAATTAAAGGTCTGGATGTGTTCAGCTTTTCCCACCGCTGAATATGGGCAGAGCATTAAAAGGCTTTGGGTCCTCTGCACTCATCCTGGGTGAGCAGATTCCCGTGCTCCTTATCTCCTGGTCATTCCTTTGGGGTCTCTAAGTGCTCCCTGGAGCTTTCCCATTTATCACAGGCTGCTTTCCTAAATTAACTGCTCTGATATGCTGCTCCAAATGAAATTATTACTATTATTGTTGTTATTATCATCATACAAAACTCCTAAACCCACACAATTCCAAAAATGAGACTTCATTTAGTGAGGATTCTTTAAAATATATTTATTTTATTTTCCAAATCCAAACTTCAGGAAAATTTTGTATGCAGCATCCATGGCTCGAGGCTGTGCCTGTGGGCAGCCAGAGCCTCAACATTGCTTCCAGGGGAATATTGCTCCACACAGCCCAGCAGAAAATTGTTGTTTTTACTGGCATTTGTGCTGCAGCAGAATTTGGAAGAAGACATGGAGGAGTTTTATGGCATGGTCTGCTTGCTCTTGTTGTCACTGGTAAAGAAACAAATAAATTTTAAAACTGCAGCCTCTGTTCTCTGTATAATGATGGGGGAAATGGTGCTCTGGTATGCTGGCAGCTCTGGTCTGCTGCCTTACCTGAAATGTCACTGCACATCTCAAAGAAAAAGTCAGGGAAGTAAAATGAAAAAAAAAAGGTTTTTTTTTAAATTTCTTTCCTAAGTGTATGTAATAAGTATGGAAGGAGAAGGTATATTTTTGCTGGGATACTCCTTGAAGAAGTCACTGATATTTGTGTTTACTGCTGGATCCCATCATGTCAGATCTACTTCAGTCACAGAATGATGGATTCAACTCACAGGACGAAGTGCAATGGAGCAAAAGGATTGGACTTACTTTGAAGTACATGACTCTCACAGGTGCTGTCTTATTTTATTAGGAAATAAAGGAAATCTCTGCACATCTCTGCATGGCTGGGGGCTGGAGACTTCCCCAGAGAAGCCAACCCATACCAGGAAAGCATCACCTACAGTCAGGCACAGGAAAGGAGATGCATTTTGCTCTGGGGCTGTGCTCTCAGCAGCAGTTCTCAGTCTAGATCATGATTAATGCTGTGTCCAGTCTAAAAATTTAGATTTTTTAAAATATATATAACTGGGCATTGAGCTTGCTTTTTTATTTTTATTTCTTGACTCATTTGAATGTATCAGACAAAGTCTTTTTCCTCTTCTGGAAAAACTCTGTAAATCTCTTATCATGACTCCATCTTGGCTCTTCTCTCCATCTTCCCCTTCACTCTGGAACCTGCATCATGTGTACATTTGATATGATCACATTTGTATTTCTATGTCTTGAGATTCATTTTCTTCTTTCCATCCTTTTGCTTTCATTACCTTGCCTTGTTGCAATTCAGATTGTAAAACCTGTGGGGCAGAAATTTTCCTTCTACAAAAGCACACCCAGGGTGATAAGCAGGCCATGGTGCAGAAGGCACATTGTGTGCTCTCATGGGCTGCTGGGGTGTTCACAGGGAAAAGCTCTTTATTGCAGATGAAAGCAGAGCTTGGAAAGGGAGTGGAATTTGTATTTCACAGAATCATTTAGGTTGGAAAATGCCTTGTTAAACACCATGTAATATTTATTCCACATTTGCTGGCCTGAACCACTGAGCAGCATTGCTGAGGGCTGTTACCTCTCCCAGCAGTGGCTGTGGTGGGGGTTTTGTGAGGCTGTGCAGGCTCCTTCAAGATGCAAGACCCTGTCTTAGGAATATCCTGTTTTATTATTTATTTAAAGGATGTTTTCATGACACTGCAATTTCTAACCCAGCATGGTGAGACCATAAAATAATAGTGGGTCTGTTAGGGAGGACGTGTTTTATTTGGCACATTTTGGGGAAGAGCAGTACAAAGGAAGAAAATAAAGTTGCAATGAGCTGGGCTCTCTGTCCATTGGTAACCACTCACCACAAATAACTGCTTGCTGCTGCCCACACGTGATATTTTAAGGCCTGAACTCTTAAAAAGAAGCTCTTAAACATCAGCAATATTTAGTGCCGTGCAGCCTCCTGGCCACACATAATGACTGCAGTGTTTTTTATGAAAATGAAACTCATCACATTCTGGGCTTTGCTTTAAGACCTCCCATCAATCACTCAGCCCCAAGCCGTGCCTCACACCTTTTCAATTCCCAGAGTCTTGCTCTTTCCGTTACGTTGCTCTTAATGTCTCTTTTTTCTGCCTTCTTCCTTGCTGCCTGCTCCTTGAGGAAATATCCTCTTTCCAAAGCTGTTTGCTGAACAGTCCTCCTACTGATCTGGAGGAGAGAGGAAAACCTGATCAGGCCCATAAGGCAAATGCAATTAGAGCACAGTTATTGACTGTTACAATAAAAACAAACATAAGTAGTACAAAGATCAAGCAGCACATGAGGCAAGTAAAGGAAAAAATATTTTTGCCTACCACAAAATTAATGGTGGTAGGCAAACCACACTGCAGCTTCCACAGGATATTGCAAAGAGCAGAAATAGAAATTATTTTTTTAAAATTAACTAAGAAAATGAATGAAGGCTGGATTCAGCATCACTTGTTGTGAAATGCAATGACTCAGGTGAAAAAAGCTGCTGAGAAAGCTCCCAGGCAGTTGGTAGGAGCTGGGAGGACCAGGAATCCACTGCTGCTCCTGTGGGACGTGGGATGGATCTGACTCAGCCACTCTTACGTGCTTTTCAATCATGCCACCTGTCAGGAATAAAACAATTACAAAACATAATTACAAACTGCTACAGACTGCATAAATGCAGTTAATTCAATGTATGGATTTGCCTTACTGATGAGATTACCTAGTTCTTCAACCTTTTCATCTATCAGTTTCTTCCTTTCTGCCTAAAATTATCTTTCTCCTGCTCTGGTAATGGGAAGTTTTGTTTTGCTGCTCCTCAGGGCTGTGCAGTTAATTCAATGTATGGATTTGCCTTACTGATGAGATTACCTAGTTCTTCAACCTTTTCATCTATCAGTTTCTTCCTTTCTGCCTAAAATTATCTTTCTCCTGCTCTGGTAATGGGAAGTTTTGTTTTGCTGCTCCTCAGGGCTGTGCCTGTGGCTTTCTGTCTGTAAAGCTGTCTCACACAACTAAAAGTAAAGCAGTTTATTAATTTTCTTTTGCTTTCTCCCATTCCTGACAACCCCAAATACTCTGGCTCTCCTTGCCCCTTGGTCTCCTCCTCTCTGCATAGTGGAGAATAAGCACTGCAGAAAACTTTTCCACTAAGCAGGAAAGCTTGGTAGGACATTTCCAAAGTGCTTGGTCCCTTATCGCAGACCCTCATGGTGAAACTGGGGCTCAACCAGCACCAAGGCCACTGCTGAGTGTCTGAAAACTCTTCCCACCACTCTCTTTTAATTTGACCTCCCCACCCTCTGGTTGTTTTGAATTGGGGTTTTGGCCTGGGATCACTGCATTACACTGTGTGATATGAGAATATATATAATAAATATATATTGCAAACAGAGCCCAGCACTGCTGGCTGGCTGAGCATCCCTTTATCTCTTGTGGCTGGGGGAGTGCAGGATGCAGGCAGCTGAATTTCTTACACTGACACAGCTCCTTCCTCTCCAAGGTTATGATATCATGAAGGAAATGCAAGATAAACCACGGCTTCAGCAGCCTCCTTTCTCTTGTCCCTCCCCATTGAGCTGCTGGTGCACACAGACACTGCTGAGCTTTGTTTGGTGCCCTGCTGGGCAGCAGGACAATGCCCAGTGCCACAAGCCACCAGCTGTCCCACAGCAAAGGCACCCACAGTAAACAACCAGGGACAATGGGGGCTCTGGAGAGGGGGAGTGGGGCTGTACCAGGGCTGGTGACTGTACCTGAGGTGACAAAGGGACAATTCAGCCCTTTGGGACTGTGCAGAGAGAATCAGTGAGGAGAGATTAGCAAGGCTTGGCTTGTGCAGGCTGGCACATGACAACATTATTGGTTCTGTCATTTGATGCTGGGTGAAGAATGCAGGAAAAAAGTGCTTTTAGCCAGCCATGTTAGAATATGATGGTGATAAGGTTATTGTATGGCATTTTCTGCTCCCTTTTTCTGTCCCCTGCAGTCTGGTGGAAGACCACTCTGCTCCTTTCATCTGCTGATATTGCTGGTTGTCAGGCAGCCCCAGGATGGTGGAATTCCTGCCACACCAGCACAATACAGCCAGAAAATTTCTGGATGTATTTGGGCAGTTAACTGGGATCAATACACCCAGAAATTTTCAGGGTGACTCATCTTGTGCAGGCTTTGAAAGTATCAAAAACTGAATGCCTGGCCTAAAGCATGCAGAATGGAGGAAAGGTAACTCACACCTGTATAAAAAAATGGTCTGATGAGGATTTACACTCTGAGGAATTGGATAGCTCTGCACAGCACACAATGAGAAACTCAGCAGTAGGCACCTGGGCTTGAAGGTGTTGGTTTGTGCTCTCTGTGACATACTTCGTAAAACCAAAATCTGAGTGTAAACAGCAGATAAAGATTTTTTTTTCTTTAAATGGCCCATTGCCATGAAGAAATGGAGCTGGGCAAGCAAACAAGCAAAGGCAGCTGAGAGAATGAAGGTCCCATAACTCACAGTGCATTTGTTTACTTTCTTTGGCATGAGATGCAGGTGTGAGCTGGGTCTTTGTTTCTTGCTGCAGGCTGGAAGGAAGCCTGCCTGCTCCTTGCCATGCAGGTAGCATAACTCCAGTACCAAAGAATATTCTTTAGCCACCTTTTTAATGAAGGCACAAATGCCTTTTGGAAAAAAAAGAAGTCCAAGAACCAGCTAAAGTTGAATAAATAAAACCTGCAAACTATTTCGTGCAAGGCTCTAAGGATGGTTTTCATTTATTCACCTCACCTCCCCCTGAAATAACCTAAACTGAATGTTCATGGATTACTCTCCCCAGTTTTGCTTCCTGGCCTAGATCTTTGCACATTTTCACCTCTCAGGTGTTGCAAATCCCCACGGACTCCCCCTGAGTGCAGATTCTGTACCTGCTCTCTTCTTGGTCCTGTTAGTCTTTTGTATTTTAAACTTTGTAAGGATTTTTTTTTTATAAGCACTTTTTGATTTTAGACCCCTTTAGTGCAAGTTTAGTGGAATCACAGAGAACTTGTGGGAGGGCAAAGTGTAAGGGCAGTAGTGAGGATGGCTGAGTGAGCCCAGGTCGGAGCTGCTGGATACAGAGAAATAGTTTTGGGGGAATATTGGGGAATATTCCAGTGGCCACATCCAGCCTTAGGAAAGGCATTTCAGTTTTCAGAGCTAAATAAGCTGTGAGGAAGCCCCTCCTGGAGCTCCAGGTGGAGGAGGTGAATGTGCAGGAGCAGGAGACAGACACCCAGCTGTGTAACCTGAACACCTTTCCTGTGGGATGGATAACAGGGAGAAAAGCAGCACCTGGAGAAAGCAACCTGGGGGGACTGACAGCATTATCCTGTGTGTGAGGCTGGAGAGCAGGGAGAGAAAGAGAGGGAGAAAGGGGAAGAGCAGGCAGCTGCTCTGTGGATGCTCCGTGTATTTGGCTAATGATGGTAATAAAACAGGATTAGCTGCTAGCCCTGGATTGATGGCCGTGGCAATTGCCAGACACCCTGCTTCCCTTCTGCGAGCAAAGGAAGGTGGCTGCATGTGGGAATTACTTTTAAAAGCTCATTAGCTGGGTGTTAAGTCTCATCAAACAGTTAACATTTCAAACAAGTACAACCTGGGTATAATTGCAGCCTCTCTAAATTTGTTTGCCCCATTAATACCTGCCACTATCAATTATTTAATTCCTCCTCAGCTGTTTGAATGCTTGTTTCAAACTGAGCCTTACATGGATTTATTTGTTTGTTTCTGACCAGAAGATAGCAGTTTTTTTAACCAGAAGATGTGTTTTCTGCTCCATGAGCCCTGTAATCTGAAGGTAAGAGATTAAGTGGGAGACAATGAGGATGATGATGTTTGGTTTCGTGCTGCAAAATCCATGGGAAATTTCGAGGCCAGGTTTGAGAAGACTGGAGTTTGGAGGACCTGGTTTGAGTGTCCCAGATGTGCCAAGGAGTTCCCACCAAAGCAAATGGAGCCTGAGTCATGCAGGAGACTCCAGCTCGTGTTTATTCCAGCAACGGGAGAACCATAGCAGCAGGAAAACAAACTTTGGGACAGAGGACAGATAAATGAGACATTCCTGGGCAGCAGGAGTGAGTTCCACAGGGATGCCAGAGGGGAGAGAGGGTCCCTTGCCCTGGAGCACTGGGGGAGTGTAAGAGGGGTAAACTGTCCCTGCCAGGCTGATAAGGACAATAATAACCTGGAAAAACCTTTATTAGTGCTGACCCAAACATTTTTGCCATTTCTTACCTCGGAATGTTTGCTTTTATTGCTGTTGATTCTCTTTTTGTCTGGCTGCTGTGTCTCTGCTGAAAGTTTTGTGGCACAGATGGTTCCCTGGTAATTTCTGTGTATGTCCTCCAGGACAGCTATTTAAATTTTTCCATTTTTTTAAAGTGACACCTGTTGTACTTGGGTATTAACTGGAGAGGGCAACAAAGTGGGCTGGCAGGTGAAAGTCCTCCTCTTGATCTCCCTGTGCTTATCTTTAATGCTTTTAAGCACAGAGAATCAAAATAATTAATTAGGGCGGCATTTCTGCGGTCAGAGGGAGAGCTTTGCTTTGGCTCCCAGCTCCCCACAGCTGCTCAGCTGCCACGTGAGCAGGCATTTCTGTGCAGTGCATATGTGGCACTCTGTGCTCCTGGTGACTGAGAAAAGGGGTTTATTTTGGAAACTGCTAATGGCTTTGTTTGCACGTTTATTCCCTTTGCTGAGAGAGGCTGCAGGCTTGTTGCTGTGACCTTTTGTGCTGCTGTGATAAGAAGCTGTTGTGGAGGAAAGCAGGTCTGATGCTTTGGGCATCCAGGGGCCTTTGGAAAGGCCTCCAAAACATCCAGGCAGAGGGGAGGCAGGATGCTGATTGCAGCTGGAATCCATAGGCTGGGTAATGTTTGCTAGGGTAAATATTTGGAATGTAGGCGTAGGAATTTAGAAGGAGAGAGGTGAATGTATATACTTCTTCAAGGCACTGGGTCGCTGGTTTTGAGAGAGCAGTTCTGGAGGCATCTCCAGCCATGCCAGGGCTGCTTCCAGTTTATTTCATGTAGAGCAGAGGATGTACATGGATGGGAATGTGCCTTCCTCCCATCTTCAGTCAGGAACCCTGCAAAGCTGTCAGACACCAGCTGAAAAGGGGCTTTTGCTTCCTGGAAAGGGAAATTGCAAATCACCCCTGAAGACTGAGCCATCAGCATTCTCAGTGTTCTCCCATCTTCAGACCAACTCTTAAATATAGCTGTAAAATAATTCAAGTTTAAATGTTAATTTTTATCTAAGAAGCAAGCTATAAATTGTTCTTGCTCTTTATTTTGACACTAGAGCTGCAAACAACAAGGCATGTCATATTGCCTTTATAAATTAACCCCCCAAAGTGGCTCTAATTGACTTTCAAGTTATGGTAATATTGCTTTCCATACATGTTCCCAGGTTCTAGCAGTAAAAAAGTCTACTTACATGAATCATAATTTATGAGAGGGAAAACTGAATTATGAAGACATCCATGCTGAAAGTACAACATTATTTATTTTTTTTTAATTATTATTCTTGGTTAGATAAGTAGCTTGGAACTGGTCATTTAAAGAAGAAAAACAATGCTGGTTGCTTTTTCAGTGGCCTCTTCAGCTTGTGCATGTAATAATATATAAAATGAGGCATATTTCCATAGCTGCCATTCTGGAGTGAACAAAGCTTGTTATTAGCTTGTCTAGCCTGGTTTGTTTGATTTGAACTTCAGTCAGGGGATGAGTGCATGCTTGACATTTCTTCTGCACTAAAATGTCTAAAGCAATGCCAGACTGGGCTCCATTATGAGAAACAAGTAAAATCCATTCAGTATGTTCATGAGCAACTACTCTGACTTTTAATATACTTACAAAGTATATAACCACTCTTGGCTGCTTATGCAGCCAAATATTTTTGATATTTAAAAGAAGAAAAAAAAACAAAACAAAAACTAGTGTAGGTTTTCTTAGATATGGAAAAAGTACCAGCAAAATCCATATTTGTTTTATGTGGCTGAACCTGTTTATATTGCCCATGCTGAGGATTATGTGCCCTTAAACAGGAGAGGAATTTTGTCTACAGCTGTTGTGGGGAGCCTTCATTATAAAAGATGACACAGAAAAAGTGAAGAATTTCCTTAATGAGTGTGTTAGTCATGAGAACAGCAGAGAGATCTGTGATTTTTAGCTCAGTTCCTTCAACTCTGGAAATATTTCAAGTACATCCCTGATCTGATCCCTGTTGAACAAATAAATTGGGTATATCTTTGAGGTTATTATTTTCAATGGGGCTTACACATGTGCTCAATAACAATGTACAACAAAAGCTCTGCTGAGTTCAGGTTCCAGGTTTGCTTTCAGGTCAAGAATAATGGCAGTTGTCCTGAGAGCTACAGATAAAACCACTGTGGGTGTTCAAAGTAGTGTTTCCAGGCTTAAAAATGTTAAAGAAATAGACAAACTGTGTTTCTCCCCCTTGGATTCCCTGGAGATCTCTGATTTGGCTGATGGCTTGCCATCAATGTGATCATCAGATAATCCCAGAATGAAAGCATCATTGAGGTTGGAAAAAGCCTCCAGTGAGCCTGATATTAACTGAACATGGCCAAGGCCACCACTAACCCATGTCCCCAAGTGCCACATCCAGATGTTTAAATCTTCCAGGGATGATGACTCCACCACTGCCCTGGGCAGCCTGTGCCAATGCTTGACCATCCTTTAGATAAGAAACTTTTCCTGATATCTAAACTCCTCTGGCACAACTTGAGGCCAATTCTCCTTGTCCTGTTGTTTGTTACTTGGGAGAAGAGACTGATCCCCAGTGATGTTCATCACTTTAGATATTGCTGTGCAAGCTCCAGGCATCTCTTTTAATTAATGGCATTCTTTATGTCTCACCCAGTATGCCCAAACCTTTTTTTTTTTTTTCTCCTTTTGCCACAGCAATTAATTACCCTAAAGGATTATATAAATGGCAGTGAGAGTGACCAGAAATCAGTGTGCAGAAGCAGCCTCTCTCACACACCTTCATGCTGGCTTTGCTGGAACCCTGCTAGGGCTCCTTCCCACAAGATGTGTCCGAGCAGGAGGCATCCAGGCTCTGCCCTTTTCTAGCAGCAGCAGCAGGAAGCGGTTTCAGAGTTCCTCCTTTGGGTTCATGCCACCCAAACATGGATGTTTTTCTGGTAAATACAGCATGCATGCAGCCTGCTTGACCTCAGTAAATACTGAGTGAGCCTGTGTGTAAGCTTGAGGTCAGCGTGCCGTTGGTGACTTGGAGAGGCTGCTCTGGCAGCAGGGACCTGCCATCAATCACAACCTGATTTTAGGGCCAGCCCTTGCAAGCAGAGCAGGCTCTGTCAGTCAGTAAAAACTCCAGATGAGGAGGAGTTGACTGGTGACAAAGCAGCACTGCTGTGTGAGGAGATTCATCTGTGGCACTGCAATGCGTGCAGAATAACAACAAATCCATACCTTTCCCCAAATTAGTCACTGTCAGTTTTTTTCCTGGTTGCTAGCAGGTATCATTTGAATCTTCCTAACTAGACTGAGTCCCAAACAGTTCCAAACTGCCCCCTGGTCAGCTTGTATGGAGAAGAGAGTGAGTTCTTCATTCAAAAACTCTGTAAATTTGTGTTTCCCTCATGAAACCCCTACTTTGGGATATCCATGGTGTCTTTAAACTTTCTATCTCCAAATCTTCATATAAAGGTCAAGGTTGGCACCTGGTACTCATTGTTTCCCTTAACACTTCACATCAGTGTAACTAACATCCTACTATTTATTGTTTTGTTCTCTGGGGGAAACTTGATTTTTTTTTCTTTTTTTCTGATGATTAACCCAGTCACCCAAACCAGACATTTCTGTGATGGTTCCTGTCAGAACATTTTCAGTAGTGGCACAGTAGTGTTAAAGATGGAGATGAAGCAAGACAATATGGTTCCAACAAAGCTAATAGAAAAAACTCCCATGAACTTCAGCAGAATCAGGATTTAATCCCTGCTATTGTAGAGTTAAGAAAAGCTCCATGAGAGAGAAGTCTTTAAAAGAAATTATTAGAGAACAGTTATGATCTCGCATGTCAAATGTATTTAATTAGAAGAATTTTTCCAGTACCTCTAGAGATTTAGGGACATGCAGTGGGACCTTTTCTGTTTGGAAAATACTTTGCCCATTGTGGGCACTAGGAGAGGAAAAAAATTGAAATAATCTGTATCCAATTGCAGTTAGAAATGTAATACAATGGGATAGGGCTGAGACCCACAGGGAAGCAGTGGCAGCACTCCCACTGACCTTAATGGGAGCTGGACCACATCCCACATGGCCTCAGAGACGTTTGTGGGGGGAAAAAAAATGTCTACTGCAAAGCTGAAAGATGAGAACGAAGAAACGCATGGATTTCAAAACTCTGTGGCTCGAGTGGGGCCAGAGCCAAACCTGCTGAAGCAAGCACAGAGTCAACGGTCAGGCAGGCTTGGTTTGACTCGTTCTGTTGGCTCCTTTGTTTTGCAGAAAGTTTTGTGGGTTTGTTTGCTCCCACTCTTAAAAAATACCTGTTCATCAGCAGATAATGAACATTAGTAACTCCTCTGTGTAACTGATGCGTTGGGTTTTATCCAAAATCACGGGTTTTATCCAAAACCACAGTGTGTTTTCACTAACAAAGTCCAGCAGGAGCTGATGACCTCCACTCTCAGCAGTTCCAGTCCCAGAGAAGAATGTCTCCCATGGGATCACCTGAGCAAGGGCTGCGAAAAGGCTGGCACAAAAGGGTCTTATAGTGGAGGGGTTTCTCTTGCTGCAAGTGGAGGCAGATCATGGTGGTAAAAATGCTGCTGTCTCACTGGCTTTGAAGACAGCAAAAAAATGATGAGGGGGTAAAATTTGCTAGAGGTAAAATATTTTCTGGGTTTGAAACGCAGCTGAGGAAAGGCTTAATGGTGAAAAGGCATTTCCTTCATGTAGAAGAAAAGGAAAACCCAAAGAAAGAGAATGAAAATACCTTCAACCTCAACAGGGCCAGCAAAGACCAGAGAGCTCCCAAGTTGCTGTTGCTTCCTTGCCGTTTTGTGACCGTAAGGAAAGAGGTCTCCACCATGGTTCAGTTCACAGAGATTGGGTTTCTGATGTACAAATGTGGAGAGCTAAAGCCAGGACAAACACAGACCTCTTCTGGATACCAGGACGAACTTTGCTCTGTGTCTCTCCAAGTGCATCGGTTCTCCAAACTACATGGAACAGTTTCCAGAACTTTCAGCAAAGCAGGGCTCACCAACACCAGCTTTGTAGGGAATTAGGAGGATCCTCAGCCCCCAAAAGCTCTCGGAGAGACAACACACAGGAGGAGCCCAGCTCCTGAGCAAAGAGCTGCCTGTGCTTCCAGAAGAACTTGCTAGAAGCCACAATGCATCTTGGAAGGAGCGGGGATCATATTTCAGCCCTGGATTTTAGGCACACGTTGTG